CGAATCTTCCTGCTCTATGTGTCTAAGTAAGCTGTAGATCGGGGTGATGTGAATCTCGTGACTGTGGTCATGGAATGCACGATGTGGATGCAATGGTGGCAGAACATGAGAAGCAATGATTGATCACTGGCTGATGCGTAAACATAGAGAATTTTGAGCATGATAGGGCAGTACTTCAATTCGTTTGGGTATGAGACTTGTTGTTAATAAAAAAATCCTGGTTATGGTAAGTATAATTGTCATAAATACCGGATGACTCACCGCAGACTCCTTGACCTCCACTAGAGGGACAGTCCATATTAGCAAATGTTTTTATACCAGCTGATCAGCCAGGTTTTGATTTTCTCCTTGAAAAATAGAGCTTATTTTCTGCAACGCTTGATAAGCTTTTAGAGCTTCCATACTCGTGTTCATAATATCGGCTAATTGTTGGCCAGCGGTTCCGACAATTAAGGCACAACAAATCAACAGTAGAACAGCAGATCCATAAGCAAGGAATACTCGATGAAAGCACGTCGCCACCATTGTACCAAAGTGGTTCAACACCTAAATATTAGGAAAGAGTTATGTGAATCATCACTTTCACAGGCATTCCAACACTCGCTTCATCCACACCTCAAGCCAATAACCTGATTACATCAAGCGGTCTTCTGCATCAACCATGTTCAGGTGGGAACGCTATGCTCCAGTCGGAGTTGTCTTTAACATCTGTGACGCTTTCTGAACCTCGAATCAAAGCACGAGCGATTACAATGCCTCTTCCCAAGTGAAGTGAAATGCAAACGCAGAAGTCAGTGGTAGCGCTGACCTTGTTCGCACCATTGGTCACTCCTTCCATTCTTACACACCTCACTATTCCCAACCTCGGATGCCACAAAGCAATCCACAGATCAAGTAGTGCTGTCAGAAGCCAATTATCTCCTTTGTCTTAAGCACTAATTTTACATCCGAGCATGGTGTGAACTAGAAATGTTTCATGTAGCAAAGCATCTTTCTCAAAATACCTTGTCTCATGCATTAATGCATAAATGTAAGTGAGAAAACATAAACTGATGAACTGACGTGCTTTTGTTCTTCGCAACCTAGACTGGAACGAGGAGAAATGACCACCATCATGCATGCACGGCATTAATTACGGATACAAATCATGGCTTTAGGAGACACGTTTAGTT